AAAAGAAAGAAAGAAAGAAAGAAAGAAAGAAAGAAAGGAAAAGAAAAAGAAAAAGAAAAAGAAAAAGAAAAAGAAAGAAAAAAAGGGGGAAAATAGGAGTTGGAGGGTATCCTGGGCTACAAAGCAAAACCCTGCCTCAAAACTAAAAGATAAGATGGTTTGAGGTAGAGGTCCAAGACAGCTAAAAGTAAGATGCTGGCTGCACTCAGAAGCACCACAGGCCTCTGCTGTTCCCATTGCGGTCCCCAAAAAGGCCCAAGGCCCAGCGCTGTGTAACCTCACCCGAGAGACACTCCAAGCCACACACAATATTCTCTCTGGTCCCTGGGGACAATCCTGGGTCTCAGAGATAGAAAGACACCTGTCAGAGGTCACACATCATGAGTGCAGCGTGGTGCACACTATTTGTGAGGGGAAAGGCCTACTCTGACCTCCCAGACCAGGGCTGAAGTGCTGAAGATTCCGGAGCCAGAAAGGGGGTGTTCTTCCCCCTCGGGCTGCGGGCTGTTGGCTGGTCTCCGTGTGGCACCAGCCTGTCCCTTCTTTCCATCTGTCCCTCCATCTGGCTAGCCGGAGGGTGACGAGGCTCGACTCACCCTTGTCCACCACCTCCAGGTGGATCTTCTTGACGACGCTGGTGTTGTGCTCGTAATTATCAAAGAAGAGGAGACGGTAGACGTGGCATTCGTAGTCGCCAGAGTGGTTGTAGGTGACGTTGGTGATGAAGATGGACAGGTCCTGCAGGTCCTTGGTGCCCCGGCTGCCATTCCACACCACACGGCCCTCAAAGCGCTCATCCTCCTCCAGCTGCAGCACCTCGTTCTCATAGCGTAGGATCTGGGGTGGTTAGTGATGAGTGGGGTATATAAGTCACTGTCTGGGCCTGTCTTCCACAAGTGACCCCCAAGACGTCCCCAGTCTGACCCTCCCAAAGACAGATGATGCATATATGGGAGCAACATCTTTGTGTGTGTGTGTGTGTGTGTGTGTGTGTGTGTGTGTGTGTGTGTGTGTGTGTTTCTAGCATTGTAACCTTTGAACATGCTAGGCAGGGGCTCTACCACTGAGCCACACCCCAGCCCCTCACTGGGGGATTCTAGGCAGGGGCTCCACCACTGAGCCACGCCCCAGCCCCTCACTGTTGAATTTTGGCAAGAGCTCCATTGCTAAGCCTCGCCCCCAGCTCCTTATTGGTGGGTTTCAGGCAAGTGCTCTCTCGTGGAGCTATGTCCCCAGCCCAAGCTCAGACGTCTTGACTTTGGGCAGTGAGAAATCAAGGAGGTTGAGATCTCACCTTGGACCATAGCAGCTTCTGACTGTCCTAGCCCCGAGACACATACACACACACTTCCACAGTCTGAAGCTCTGCCTGGCCTCGGCAGCCCCTTTCTCTACTTATTTCCCAGCCACCAGTCTCCATCGGGTACAGCCTCCCTCTCCTACCACACACATTTCAAAATACACATACAGTGGAAAGCTTTGCTCTCTGACCTGCCCAAGACATTTTTGCTGGTGCCACATAATTCCAGTGACATTTTTTTCACAACCTGCCATATGCCAGCTGCATCAGCTCATTCAGCCTTCACGCAGACCTAGCGGGTTGAAGCCAGCGAGATGGCTTAGCAGGTAAAGGTTCTTGTCACCACACCGATAGCCTGAGTTCCAGCCTTAGAATCCATGTGGTAGAATACGAGTGGACTTCTGCAAGTTGTGCTCTGATGTCCACACACATGCCATAGCATGCATGCACACACACACACACACACACACACACACACACACACACACACACGTGATTAAAAAAATGAGGCGGAGACCACGGCCCCTCACTGTTTCAGGACCCATGCTCAGTGACTTGCCTAAGGTGATCAGCGGTCTGCGGTGAGTGGGGATTTAAATCCAGGTCACCTATCATATCCACATCTTCATCATTAGTAAAGCACTCACACAAGCTAAGTGCATGCCCGTAATCCCAGAAGCTGAGGCAGGAGGATTGCCAAGAGTTAGAGCCCAGACTCAGCTACTTAGCAACACCCTGTCTCAATAGCACTAAAAGCAACACTGAAAAGCAAGCAAGCAGACACCCTTGAGATCCAGCACTGTGGGCTCCATCTCCCGGATGCCAGCCCAGTCCAGGCACCCCCACACACCTTGACAAATTCCTCTGTCCCCTTCTGGCGGAAGGTCCACTCCGTGAAGGTCTCGGCGCTGGTCTCACTGCGACGCTTACAGGAGATGCACAGGATTTTGAAGGTCTTCCCATACACGGCCTCAGTCTCGGAGTCCACCTCCACGCAGCCCCCCCAGGCTGAGGACACTGCGCACACAGCGGGATGCAGTCAGCGAGGCACCTGCCACCCTAGGCAACAGCGCTCGCTGCCCCACGGAAAGCATCTGTCTCCTTTTCAGCATTTTCACAAATACTGGGTGCCAAGCTGCTCCCCGATTCTCACTCTCTGTGTGACCTTGACAAGTCACCCATCTTCTGGGAGCCTCAGTTTCCCCCACCCTTACCCCCTCTCCCCTTCCTCTGCCTGTTAGCTAGAAGAAATCATATCTTTGTTCCTAGTAGTTGCTAGGTAGAGTATGCACTCCGGAGGCCCCAGGAAACAGGATGTCCTTGTGGGGAGTAACTCCACCGAAGTGCCCTGGTCCCCAGAAGGCCAACAGCCTTCTAGGCAGTAGCGCTAGCCTTCCATGTCACTCCCCCCACGAAGCTGGTCTGCAGAACCAGCCAGGCTTGAGAGGTGGGAAGGCTGGCTGAGGGGGGCTCACTCCAGCCCTGCCGTCTTCTCCCTCTAGCCTCTGCAGTCCACCCCCTCCCCATCTTCACCACCCGGCCCTGTCCCCCTTCCCCCAGACTCCCTCATGTCAAAGCCTTCACCCCAAGTTAAAAGTTCTTTCCTGCCTCGGGGTCTTTACTGGGTCCCTGGCCCTCGGGTCCTTCCTTCACCCTCTTCCCTGCCCCTCTCACCTCCACCTCTCACTAGCTGATGAAGTCATGTCTCTAGCTCTGGGTCTCTCCCTTGTCCCCCAGCCTCCTGATCTCTTAGTGTTCAGGGCTTCTGGTTCACCTTGCCTGCTGCCCCCACTCTCCCCCATATTTATTTCTTCTAGGGGTGTCTGAAGGTCCCAGCATCGGCGTGTCCCTCACTCTGTCTTCCCATCATTGTAGATCTCACCATTACTATTACTGTTACTGTTTTAAACTCCATCTGGCAGGCATTCTGTCCCTGGGGCTGCCTCTCTATCTCCATCCCCTCCCGGTCTCTCCAGATCTTTCCACCTTTCTCAAGTTTCTCTGTCCCTGGCTCCGGCTCTTAACTCTCTCGCTCCAATGTCCCTGTCTGCCTCAGCCTCTCGGTTTATTCCCACGTCCAGGGCATACCTGGAGTCTTCTTCCCTCGGTATCCATCCCTCCGGGTTTGTCTCTCCCGGCCCCAGTCCCCGGGCGCCGCCTTCCCCCACCCCTCACGCGGCTGTGGGTGTCACATTGCAGCCTGCGGGGCTCTGCGAGCAGCTGACTCCGCGTCTCCTCGCCCCCGGCCCGGCGCCCGCAGACCCACCTGCGTGCCAAGTGCCCCCCACTCCGCCCCGCCCCGAGAATCCCCTGCAGCTCCAAGATCCTCCCGTGTCGCCCGGGGTCCCGCGACCCTAGCGACCTCGCACCGCGCACAACTTCCCAGGCAGAGACTTGGCGAGCTCCTGGGCGGGCGGGGGGCATCCCGAGCGCAGATGGCGCGTGTCCCCCAGCAACACTCACCCAGCGCCGCGCCCACCACGAGGGCCAGCAGCGTCCCCATGGCCGCGCAGGGCGGCGGGTGCGCAGAGCGCGGCGACAGGAGATGGGGCCCGG